TGTGGTGGTGACCGGAGTTGAGGGAGGAAGCTAGGATTTAGTGCAGCTGGCTAGGGATTAGAGTGTGAGAAGGAGAGGGAGTGGGACGGTGGTTCTCGCGACTGCGATGGGGGGTGGTGCAACCAGACCCGTGGTGGCTGGCGTGGTGAGGAGAAGGAGGAAACTAAGATGAAGGTTAGGAGTGTGGGGAGAATGGGTTAATTGGAAATGGGGCGGGTCTTGGTTGTTTAGGGCGTGGAGGAGCAAAGACAGGGGAAAGATGAATGGTGGATGGTGCGGTGGTGACGGTGAACTAGGGTGAGATGGATGGCTGCGAGCATGACAAGGTGGTGAGGTGGGTGTAGTTGAGTGGTTGGTTGGTGAGGGTGGTTGAGCAATGGGGAATGGAGGCCGGCGAAGATTGAGAATTATGCCCATGAGTGTCCGAAATCTGGAGACCGCCTCTCCTTCTCAAAAAATCTTTATAAAAAAAGAATTAGATATTGAAAATTAGGACAACCACTCTAATATTAAGCTGGGCCAAAAATCTATTCCTTTTTTTTATATGGTAAAAAACAATCACCTCCTCTTTTTATATTAAAAAGATAAACACTAACAAAAGTAATTATTATATATTTTTTTATTTTATATGAGAAATAGAAACAGTTAATAAAAGAAAATTTTATTATTTTTCTCTTTTTTCTTAAAAATGTAAAATGTTAGCAAGAGAAATTATATTTTTCATATATATATATATATATATATATATATATATATAAAATATTGAGAAAAATTAAACTACTTTTCTTTTTACTCCTTTTTTTTATATTTTTAAAATAAATGCTACTATTTATTATTATTTTATTTTTATCTATCTAGACGAAATTGGGTATTGACAATGGGTATGGGTAGAGGTCTCGGGTATGGGTAAATGTTGCAGGTTGTAATGGTGTGGTTCGGTGGTGGTTGAACTCGGTTGAGCGGGGAGAAACAGAGTGAGTAAGGGTCATAGTGAGGAGGAGATGAGAGGGGAGGGAGTCGAAACTGAGGAAAATTAGGATAAAATGTGATGAGTTTGTTTTTTTTTTCCAATTATTTATTATTTATTATTCTGGAAAAGTAAAAGAGAATGTCTTTATATTTTTTCATTTTCATTTTTAAAAAAAGCAAAATATTAAGAAAAAAATGAAAATTTTTGTTTTATCTTTTAAATATTTTTTATTATTTTTTTCATATTTTTAAATATTAATTTTTTCATGAAATTAATTTTAATTAAAATAATTAAGTGATATATATACATTTATTTATTTTTTATTTTTTATTTATTAATATTATCAAATTTTAGCTTAATTATTAAATCTTATGTTTTTATTTGAAATTATTTATGTTTAATTAAAAAAATTACCAATAATTTAAATTTTATTAATTCTATAATTTTATATAATTATTATTATAAATTTAATTCTCCAGTAACTAATAATATTAACATATTTATCAAATTAATTTTTGTTTGTTTTAATTATTATTTTGAAAATTTTAATGGTTTTTTTCAAATAAATACGATAAAACTTAAAATTAATTTCTAACTAAATCTTCACATATTTATGATTAATAGTATATTATATTATTATGTTTAATTAAAATTTAAAATTTTAAAATAAGTTTACTTAATTTTACCCTTACTAATATAAACTTAAAATATTTATCCAATTATTAAATTATCCAAGATATTAATATAAATTTGAAATATCAATTCATTAATTAAAATAATTTTTATTTTTTAATAAATACATTGAAATATATTTTTATTAACATACAAATAATATATATATATATATATATATATATATATATATATAAAAGAGACTAAATTAATAATTAATTTAATGATTAAGTGAGTTACCGAATCGGTGACCAAATCCATGATTAAATAAGTGACAGAATCGGTAACTAAATCAGTGACTGATTCAGTGACTAATTTAATAATCAATTTTAATTTATTTTATTCACATGCTAAATTAAAAAATAAAATCAAATAATTATATTACTAACTTATTTAATAAGTTAGTAAACTATTTTTTAAAAATTTTATAATATTATTAAAAATATTATCAATTATTTTAAGTTATTAAGTATATTTATATTTAATATATTATTAAAATATTTTTTAAAAATATTTATATAAATGAAAAATAATCACCAATTTAGAGATTATTTGTTTCGTAAAATTTTAGTAACTAAATCAATCACTAAATATAAAAAGGAAAATCGAGTCATTGATTCAGTTATTATTAGTAACTCGAATTTTTCGGTCACTATTAACCATTTTTATATTTCTCTCTACTTGTCACATTTGCTACCGGGGTCATGTTTCTTATCTCTCATTATTGCAGTCATATGTGTTTTTGGGGGTCAATCATTTAAGATGACATATTCCTAACTATAGAGTATCATAATGTGAGTCTTAGTTGGATAATAAGGTTGAAATAATAAAAATTTGACTCTAAAGTTTACTTGAGATGCACTTATTAAATACATTATTATGTTGAGTACGAGAGAGTTTGTGAGGTAAGTCAAGTTTTGAGTTATGATTTTAAACCAATTACTATAAAATACTTCAATTACATAAATTTATAATGTGTATTTAACTGAAATGAAAAATAAAAAAGCTGAAAGATGTGTTATCTAATATTTATGATATAAATATGTTTGACTTTTAATATATAGACAATTGTAATTTTTCAAGGCTAAATAAATGACTTTAATGCCTTCTTATTCATTTTGTGACATTTAAAACATTCAACTCATTTTGTTTGTTTTGTAACATATATTCAAATTACAATAGTAGTTTCACCATCATTTATCATTAATGTTTATACTACTATAAAAATTATTTATTTCCAACAAGCTCTCTATTCGTAATTGGTTGCATAATTATGATTAAGTTGGACCTTAATATACTCAATTTAGTATTCAATATTTTATTGTTTGCATGTTATGCAAACTTTAATTATTTTATATTATTTATTTACCTTTGTTATCAACTATAAATACAAAAGAAATTTATATTTTATGATTTTATACAATAAATTTTGTACAACGATATTTTATGATTTTATTTTGTTTAAATAGATTATGATTTAATTTTGAATAAACAAATGAATATATATTATATATTCAAACAAAATTAAACAAAATAATTATATAAATTAAAAGATTTTTTTTTATTTTTAATTAGATAAAAAATTATCAATTAGTCTATTGGTCTAACATAGATTAAATTAGAAAAAAAAATTGATCATTTTAAAATATAAATTTTATATGATAAAATTTTGTAGATCAATATTTTATGATTTTATTTTGTCTAAACAAGTTATGAGTTAATTTTAAATAAATAAATGAATATGTATTATTTATTCAAACAAAATTAAATAAATTACATAAATTAAAAGATTTGTTTTTATTTTAATTAAGTAAAAAATTATCCATGTTAATCTAACCTAGGATAGATTAGACAACAAAATTTGATTATTTTAAAATATAAGTCTAAATTTTTTTACTTGATTTAGAAGATCAAACCACACTAGACTTTTTAAACTCTATTCAAATTTGATATTTCAATTCCTTTCTTTAAAAATTATTTAAATAATAATGATATATTAACAAAATATTCAATATTAAAATTAAGTTTATAATATAATAAAAAATTAATTAAATTTGATATCTCGTTAATTCTGGAACTTAAAAATACATGTTGTTATAATAACGTAATTTTATTGACTACCTTTTTGATACAAAAAAATTCAAAAATAGTAATAATATATTTTAGTTAAAATTTCTCCTCACTGTTAAAAGATTAAGTTTCACTTTGTTATATTTAAATATTAACTCACATAAAAATTGAATATAAAATTCATTGATTGGATTTAACATTTCTTTAATTAGATATTTAAAGGTATAAGTCTTAATAATTCTCCATGGTAGCTTTCTTTATCCTTAAAAACAAAAGTTTAATTTATTATAATATATAAAGATGCAATAAATTAATGAGATGAACATTCTTTTAATTTTGTTATCTAACTCCATTTTTTATAAATTAATTATATATTTTTAAATAAAATTTCTTATTTTAGATTTTGTAAGTTGAAATTATTATTTCAATATTTGTTTATCAAATAACATAAAATAGGAGATTTCTATATACATATTAATATTAATATTATATTTAAATAATTATTCTCATAATAATAATAATTTAAAAAAATATAATATATGTATATATATATATTTATTATAAAATTAAATTAATAATATTTAAAAATAATTTTTTATTTTATTATATATATATATTTAGGTAAGATGAATTATATGCTAAATCTAATACACACATTGTTAAGATGACATCTGCATATTAACTTATCGTTCCCTATGCACATTCTTTAACTTGTATTTTTGGATAATTAATAAAAAATTATTTATATTTCTTTAGAATTAGTTAAACCAAATTACTAATATATTTGATATTAATTAGATCTATTTGATATTAATTAGATTAAAAGAATTTTGGACTTATATATATATATATGTATATATATATATATATATATATATATATATATATATTCTTTTGTAATTATATATATCATTAATTATATGTCATAAATTATAGTTTTTATTTAATAGTTCTATTTTATTTTTAAAATTTAATAATTTTAACGAGTAACACAGTACAATACACTATATTGATTATAGTAAACATCAAACAATGTAACACAATCCTGTCAATCTACACACCTTTTAATGTCTTATAAATAAATAATTTCACATTATTATTTGGCACATACTAACACTGTAATGGAGCTTTGGACCACCAGAAAATTACTCTACACTTTTTTTAAAATAAATATTAAAGTAGTATATAAATAAGAATATAAATATGAAAATAAATATTACATCGACATTATCTTTATTTTATCTATGCAACAATCTCTGTGTCTGTCAGCAGACAGTGCTGTGAGACAATGGAACTCTGCACTCGAACCTTCACAAGTTTCCTTCTTTTCAACCCTTCTTTCTCTTCAAACTCTCTTCTTCTCCGTGCTAATGCCAACGCTACACCGTTTAAATTCAATTCCCTTAAACTATCGTCTTTTTCGCCTCATATTCATCTCTTTCGGCCCTTTATCTCTCCTCACACTTCTTCTTCTTCCTTTACCGTCTCAGCTGCTTCTTCCTCTTCCTCAGTTGCAGTTGGCACAGAACAGGACCGTCTTCCAGCAGAACTGAAGGTCACTGAAACAGAGCAACCCAATTCCAGTGTATGGTCTTCTTTTTTTATACATTTTTCCAGTTTTAAGATGTATCCTTTAAAGTGGTGTGTAGATTTCTCATGTCCATATTCATAGTTTTATTTTACGCTTTATTTGAATAATACCTAATGTTTGGTTCAACTCAACTAGCAATATCCGATTCAGAATTTGTCATTTGCAACATAATTTACAATGGGTAATGGTAATCGTGAAATCTGTTTAAGGTGTATGCACAATTAGGACTATTTAGAAGAAAGATAGAGTTAAGGGGTTTATAATATATGCACTCACTCATGTGAAAACTATCAAGTTTATTGAATTTTATAATAATCACTTTAAATATGATTTTTTACAGTTTAGTATGTCATTAAACTCTTTTGTTTATAATTTGAAAATTTATCGTTCTGTTTTTATTTTATTTTCTATGTCAAAGGTTTTGCAATTCACCCAGCTCGGTTAAAACTTGAAATTAAGAAAATAGAACAAAAGCAATGACAAACTCTTTATTTATTAGTAAAACATTTTATATTTTCATTTTTAGTTTTCCCAAATAATTGCGAGATGTTACGATATTTTTCTAATTCCAAAGATTTTCCTAATTGCAGGTTAGATTGCATGTAGAGGTGCCATCATTGGTATGTGAGGATTGTTACAAAAGGGTCATAGCAGAGTTTATGAAGCAAGCAAAGGTGATGTTGATTACTTATGCTTTATAAAGTTATACACTACAATGTTATTCTCGTATTCTGGCTCTAAGAAGATATATGCATCAAATTATTTTCAGTGCTCTTTATTTTTGTGTCAGGAGGATTTTCAGTATCTAATTTCTAAACATTAAACCATTATTCTAATTTCTGGTCTCTACATTGTTTTTCAGTGAAACTTTTTTTGTTAAAAAACTTCACAATCTTAAGGCCTGTGCTCTATCATATATCATAAGTTGTTTGCTTGAGATTGTCACGGATCCAGGTTTCAGCTTCTATGGGCGACATGTTATCTTTATGAGCTAATTTAGCATTGTTTGAAGTACAGATCCCTGGATTTCGGCCGGGAAAGAAAGTTCCAGAAAGTATTCTTATTAGTTATGTTGGGAGTCAAAATGTTCAGAAGGCTACTATTGAATCTATATTAAGGAGGACACTTTCTCATGCTATGACATCGGTATGTTGTGATATAGTTTCTATTTTCTTATCTTTTTATATCCTTACTTTTTCTCTTTCTGTTAGTCTTCTAGATAATTTGGATTCATTGTGTTTTACTTGCAATTATATAAGTTATTAATTCCTGATAATGTTTGGTAACTGATAACATGTCATATCCATGCACAGTGCACAAGCACAATTGACCTTTCCTCATTACCCAAGTCTATTCAATAGTGCTATCTAATAAAGCATTTATTTAAACTCTGCCATCAAGATGCCTTTTGAGTACTTGGTACTGATAAGCAGTTTCAAAAAATTCTTCATAATTTCCTAATCTTTTGTTCTATGTTACTACTGAATAAAGTAGATCATTAAATCAATTATTATTCTGATCTTACATTTAAGCATTTGATTATTAATTTTGTACATAGGTTACTGGAAAGGCTTTGCAGGACTCAGTACGTATAGTTACTAAGTTTTCTGAGATGGAGGAGACATATTCTTCTCTTGGGTCTCTTAGGTAACCTATTGGTTTAAGCTTTTTGAAATATATCTACTATTAAACACGTTATTTTTTGTTCCTTTGCTGTATCTGTAATACTAGAACAATTTTCTGTCATAATATAGAGAAAAGGGAGACCTTCATTAAGAATGCTAATGAGTTCTACAGTCAATTATATTACTATTCTCACTGATTTCACTTCTCCAGATATGATGTCATTGTTGATATTGCACCAGAAATCAAATGGATTCCTGATAATAATGCATTCAAAAATTTAAAGATTGTTGTTGAGATAGATAGCGATATAGATGCTCAAAGAGCATCTGAACAAGAATTTAGAAGGCGTTACAAGTCCATTGGTGCCCTGAAAGTGGTTACTGACAGAGGGCTACAGGTGACTAAATCTATTTCAGTCTGCTACTATTTATTTTTGTTTTTGGTTTTTGAAATGATTATTTACTAGAAATGCTATTTATTTTGGAACTTTTATGAATCGTTTTATTCATAAAACCTCCAAGTTCTATAAGGCAAACATTAACAACCATGATAATTAATATTTGTATTAATTGATATTAGTCTATCCAAAATTAGCTGGCTACTGCAATTTTTTCTTTTTCCTTTTCACAGGTTGGTGATGTTGCTGTTATTGACATCTCAGCTACAACCATTGATCAAGATGAATCAAATATTAAAAATATTCCCTCTGCCGAAAGTAAAGGTCTGGTGATGTGCTTGAAGGATTATAGCGAATTGATAAGTCATAGAAGTCTTTTCTTTTTGTAATAGATCCAAGTATATTTTTCCTCTAAACTTATATTAGTTATGCAGGCTTTAATTTTGATACAGAAGACGGCGACAAAGTATTACCAGGTTTCCTTGATTCAATAATTGGAATTCACCGTGGTGAATCAAAGTCTTTTCCTCTTGTATTTCCTGAAACATGGAAGCAAGAAAGTCTTCGTGGTGTTCATGCTCAGTTTACTGTAAGTTTCTAATGCTGAATAGAAAATGTTTAAGCTTTAGGGACATGAACTGGCATGGTAGTTTTTTCTTTTGGTCCTCTGGATACCAAATTCCTCTTCATAATAAATACTTTTTGGCCATATGTCTCGTAGACATTTTATTATGGCACTTTTTCATCTCCTTATAGTTCTTGTCTTTGATTTATTTAAGAGGGATTACTACTTCCTTTCGTTAATATGTTTATGGTCCTAGCTTTGTTGCTTCAGTTGATTAAGATTACATCTTTATGTTTGCATTGACCTCCTAGAAAGGGGATGAAATCTAGAAATGTAGCTTTACCTTTCTTTTTCAACTTGTCTAATTGTTGCCCCATCATACAGTAATCAATTAATTGTTGTCTAAACAGTCTTACTGACGTGGTGCTTTCCATTTGAGGGGATTGTTTATGCCCCTGCCGAAAATCAACTACATCCTCTCAAAGGGATTCAAACTTTTCCTAAGTAGTGTACACAATGCTCAACCCATGTTCGTGGGTACACACATTTGTACCATGTCTAAGTGCATATTTGATATCTCATCATTTGCTTGTAGCTTGTCTAAACACGCCTTTGGCTGCATACAGTACTTTAGCTAATGATGCTTATCGAAAGTCTCTTTCATTCATAACAGGTTGAATGCAAAGAACTTTTTTACAGAGATTTACCCGAACTTGATGATTCTATTGCTGATAAGCTTCTCCCTGGATGCACCACTCTGGAGCAGGTGACCTTTTTACCCTTAGATATGATTGTCAAGTAAACAGAGGAATTATGTTTAATAGAATTCAGAGTAAAATTCTCTAGCATGAATTGCCAGGTCAAAGACTTCTTGTTTCAGAGATGCCTAGAGGTGGAGCAAACAGCTAGAGAACAAGCAACTGATAATGCTATCTTAGATCAAATTTCTAAGGTAATACATTAGATTGATTCTGTCTTATCTCCTAGATTATCAGCATGCACCGTGCTTTCTGTGTGTGTGCATCTTATACATTGTGTATAATGAACCGCACGTGCATCTAACATGGATACACTGACTAATTATTATTTATTATGATAATTATTTCTGGTAGACATATATCCATTTTAGAATTTGGGTGTAAACCCTAACTCAATCCAATGAAACTGGTTTGTAAAGTGAAGTCCAAGCTTTATAAGCTGTACTTTGTCTTTCTAGTTGATGTGGATTAAATACCACCTTTGGGGCTGCAATTAAGGTAGGCTAATCTGCCGTATTTATGGTAGCTTTCCAACAAACCATTTATCAAGAAGGACTTCAATCTCTGTAATTTTGTAACAATTGGTGACAAGAGTTGGATATGACAATAAGACTTAACTTTCCTTCTGAAGCTCATGGTTTATTTTGAATCTTAAATATATATTGATATTATCTATATCATATCAAGTATGGTGGACAATACATCCTTGTAAAATATCTGAATTGTATGAAACAAGTTACATTTAAATTTGGATTTCCTCTTTGTCCCTTTGCTAGCAATAATTTTTTTAATGAATTTTATACTGCTAGAAAACATTGAATTGTGTAAAGTTTATCACAAAAGATCTGTGTATCTTGTCATGTGCAGATGGTAGAAGTTGATATACCTCAATCCTTGTTTGAGGAACAAGGTAGGCAGCTTTATGGAGCCAACCTATTAGAAATACAGGTATTAATAGCAAGATGCATCATTTTCAGGCTAATCAGACATTTAAATTTTTTTTACATTTCTTCACAATTTAATGGGAAAAAACCTCTCCTCTCAGGCAAAAATGAAACTAAATGAGCAACAGCTGGCATCTCTCTCAAGTCCAAAGGCTGTGAACCAATATCTTGAGCATCAGAAGGAAAATATAACAAATTTGATAAAACAGAATCTGGCAGTGGGTGATATATATAGGCGCGAAAATCTGCAGGTATTCCCGTTGTCAGAAGATGGCACAAGTGTACCAATTCTATGTGATTGAGAAATAACATTTGCTTTGCATAGCACTTGTTTTTATAATTAAACTTTCTAGTATATCATTTTTGCTTGTTCAAATGATTTTTGTGTATGTATGTTTTGTAGTTTGCTACTGAGGACCTCGTCAAAGAGGTTGAGAATTCCATTGCTGAATTCAAACGTCAAAAACAAGAATATGATGAGGAACGGGTGAAGGATCAGGTTTGCACCATACCTTAATGTTTGTTTACTGTTGTTTATTGTTTTGGCTGCTTCACCGTTTCATAAATATACAGAACTCCAAATATCCTGAACCGTTTTCAAAATGGTCGATGTAGGGACAAGCATTTCATACTGCATACCATGTTGACTAACTAAATTCTATACCTTGCCTAGACAATTGTAGATAGGTTGCATTTTCGAAGGAGGAAAAATTGTGCTTTGGGCCAAACTTTCTTTCCTAACTTAACAGATTGATTGATATGATATTTTTGAACTTTCCTTAAGGTTCAAGAAATACTAGAAGGAGCTAAAGTGCTTGAATGGTTGAGAGAACATGCAGAGATTCAGTATATAACTAGATGAGAGATGAGCACCAGCCAAAACAAATCAGGAAAAATTGCAGGTTCATTTGAAAGAATTTTGTTTCAGCGGATGTAAGTTATGAGAAAATAAACTATTCTTGATTGAATTCTGAATAAAGGTTATTTAGAATAGAACAATCTATTACTAGCTTGTAAATTGAGACTTTTACAACAAATTAATGGTAGATATCACTAACAAAAATTACTATTGAAAAACACCAATATATTTCTCATTACAAATCCACATTAAATGTCAATGTTAAGCCCTAAAGGGAAAAGAAGGAATGTATTGTCACATGCAAGTATCACTACACTCTGTACTTGATATATAGTTCAGCAGTTAACAAAGAGGTCGGTCTAAAAAAATTATTACTAATCTACACCAATTGTTCCAACAGGGTCTTCATCTACAGATATAAAACCAATTGAAGCATGCTTTATTAAGTGTAGAGCGAACTTGTCATAAACGCCTTTCTTGCAATATCTGCCCGAGTTTTGCGTAGAGAGCTAGCTGCTCCTCTGAACCAAGATTCCTCATTATCTACGTAGATAAAACAATGTAAATGATTTACAACAAAACACTAGAGCGTTACGCTTATGGGCAATGGGCAAAGGTCATTGTGAAATGTGGTCATAGTGAAATGTAATCAGTTTTTGACTTAAATATGTGCAACAGTGGAACTGAAATAAAACATAATCATCTAGTTTTCACATGATTGATAATTAGCCAATAAATGCTTAAACTAGAGACGCACCTGGTCCAAAAGCGTTTCAACTGAATAGTCTTCGGCGACAACAAATGATTGATGGTAAATGTAGACAAAAACAGCCATTACCATCTGAAAATGATGCATCATAACACGGTATAAACACACAACATTCACAACAACTGCAGAGATATTTGTGTACTTAACTTTATTGCATGTCATAGAAAGTAGTACATGATTTATGGTGAAATTGAAGTGTTTTAAAGTGCTGAGCATTACAACAAGGCATGTGTAACAACCGCATATAATTTTATTAGCAATGAATCAATTGCACTTTGAAAAGTCAAGATAATGGGGTATCCTATAGCTCATCCATAGCAAAAGGGTAGGAATAAAATAAAATAAAAATACCCCCCAAATATTTAAAGCATGAACTCGCGAATCACAGCAGTTGCTGATTATTGACTCACTACAACACAATACTATTAAAAAAAACTGAAATTTATCCTGAAATAAGGAAACCTGGCAGTCCATTCTGTCTGTAAATCCACCATGTCCAGGTATACTGTCACCGAAATCCTGTAATCAATGAAAGATATCAATGTTGTTGCTATGTTTGGGAGTTTCAAAGATAATGGAGAGAGGGTGTTGGCTGCAAAATAAATCTCTAATATAAAGAACAAGAACAGACTTTGATTTTAAAAGCTCTTTTGAATCCACTGGCAAAAAACCCTCCAAATGGTGCTATGATTGACGCAAATAGTCCCATCCACAAGGCGTGCCACTGTACTGGCAAAACTGCTATCTCTTTCCAAGGAAGCTACAAAATGTAGCAAAATGAAAAAACTCAATCTTTGGATTCTTAATTTATGGAGAATAATACTAAATTGGCTAAATGGTATTTTTTATTCTTTATTTTATTTTCAAGGTTTTGTCTTTCCCAAATAGTCGTTATTTTCAAAAGTGATATTTCTCAAGTTGTAAGTCACATCACGCAACAGTCTTTTATCGTCAATAATGAAGCTTTCAACCATTTAATCTTATTTCTTCTAATGTATGAGAACCAATTACTACACCTCTGTAATAATGACTAAATGATTTGTGTAGTTGTATTCATGGTGCTTGATTATCTATCATGTAAAATAAATCCTTCATAATAATAACAAATATACAACGAGATTTTACTAATATTTACTACACGTATATTTTTCCTTTTCTTTCTCTAGTCTTAATTTAATTTTTCTTCACATTCGTATCGTCAAGCTTCCAGAAAGTTAATGGATGTTTACGCACCGTCAAGATTTCCAAACCGACCTCACTACATGGATGAGAGTCTTAAATTCTTTTAGCAATTGCTAAATCTCAAGAATTCTCACTTACCCAATGAGAAATCAACCCTGGCAATGGAATATACTCTGGCTTAAAAATTGGGTCAGGATCACACTGAAGCCAACCAGTTGATAAATCCTGAATTTATTTCACCATCATTAGGAACAACGTAAATATTTTCTTCTAGATGATTTCACTCAATCAAGATTGTTACCTTCCTTGGACATGTTAGCCACTGGAAGCGAGCCAAGAAGTTTGCAAACTGCACAAACACAGGTGGCATCATCATGTAAATCAATTATACTGAACAATATCATTAAACCAACTTAGAGAGGAGGTTGCGAGTTAAACAAATGATCTAGTAGAGTAGAGCTATAAATAAAATGTGAATTTTGAATGTTTTCTGAGATGGTAGTTGGTTAGCATCTCTCTTGAATGAGAATAGTTGTTATTGACAAAAGGAATGAACTAAGGAAACACAGGATGTTACTAACTGATGCTTACTGTAAATGCAGCAATCATAGTGGCGACAGATGCTCCAATGAAACCTTCCCATGTTTTCTTTGGAGAAAGCTTGATCAACGGTGTTCTCCCAAAATAGAAGCCGAAGAAATATGCGCCAACATCATTTATAGCAATAAGAGATGCAGGGAAAAGAAACCTTTCATAATAATATTAACATGTTAGATTGTAAAAAAACATAAAATTAAGTATGCAAAACATAGTGGTTAGCAATACCAAAGCAGTTACTGATGAATCTCTTTACAATTTCCATTCAATGAAGGAAAAACACACGGATGATGATGCTTTTGCAGAAAAGTGAAACACTCGAGCAAAATATATATATATATATATATATATATATAGACATTATATAAAATAATATTCATGAATCATGATGACATCTTTATAAAGAGTCCTGTTATTTGTGTTCAAGTTTCACCCTTATTATGAGAATCTTAGTACTAGTCAATAAAACCAAAAATTTATAGAAACACCTTTAAATCGTTTCAAGCAACCACTTAGTAATTTTAAGACAACTAAAATTCAAAATTATTAAATCTGATTATCCTCTTACTCAAATTTATAATATTAAATGTCTTTTCTAAAATATAATTTTCCACAACCATGTAGTGCATTGGAATAAAAAAACAAGAATTAGAGAAAGCTAACAGGGAAAAAGAGAAGAAGAAGCAATTTATTAAATGAAATTATTAGAGACTATTTCTTGTTTATTGACTTAATGTGTCCTTTTTGTTAGTAACTGTGATCAACAATCTTCTGATCAAATATACATGAAGCTAGATTGCATAGAATCATATTTGTAAAGATGTTTAAGCAAGCTAAAATCACATCAAATAGAAAATAAAAGTAAAAGAAGAAATTATAAATGTAGATTACATCATCAAGTAATACAAAAGAAGTCATGTTACCAGAATATCCCTTCAAATATGTTGGCTACAGTGAACGCAGACTGGGTAAATACAACAATTAGTATCATATGTGTCCATGCATATTGGCCAAACTGATACTTGTAATATCTCTTCTTCAATGAAAGAATAAACCATACAAAACCTGAAATCCCAGATGAAACGAACATATCATACAAAACCATACAGAAATGAAAGAATTTTTTTTATATTACAGGGCAACAAACTCTTGAACCTGCAGAAGACTAGAATAATATGATATCGGATAGCAAAATTAAGTTACTCAACAGGATTGATTCAGATTTATAAGGAATATGTCCAACAAAGCCAGAACCTATAGGTGTCTTGCTTGATATATATATATATATATATATATATATATATATATATATATATATATATATATATATATATATAAAATTATTCATGTGTCTTCTCTTACCAAAATTTGGTTGACATAGGATAATCATACATGAACATTCCTATGAATAAATTTGGAAGTACTAACCTGCAATGTATAAAAAGTAACATATAACCATCTGATACTTGATCAGGTTGCACACAAGTCTAAACAAGAATTTGTCTGAGGTCACTGTATTCACAAGTTGTTTACTGAGAATACGGCCATATACGAATAGCATTGCTGTGAAGAAAAAATGCCTGGACATTGCATTCGGAATCTTATCTTGGTGAAACACTATATATTAAACATTTCTGATATACACATGGTCATTTAGAAATTACAGTAGCCCGAATGCTTACCAGTTCAAGAGCTTAAACTTAGGGAGACGTCTATCTTGAGTTGCTCTTATAAGTAGATTGAAGAGCTCACTGGCCATAAATATTTGGATAATAACTACCATGGCCCAGATGTAAAGATGACCTAAGTATACGATTAGTGAGACACTAGCTAACATCCACATAGATGAGTATGCACGAATCCACATTGATCTGTATTTAAATTTATCATCCACCAGTAAAAAGTTTCCATTTGATTTGTTTATCTCCGCAGGAATCTAGCACCAAAAAAGATAGCATCAGTTTCAAATTCTCCAAAATGAAATTTCATATTTATACTAGGTTAAATGGAAGTCCATATTCAGTAATGACTTCCTCAACTACATGTATATGTATCTTGTACATATTTATGCACTTGTTAAAGGGAAGTTCATATTCAATAACTGTTTCATCAACTACATGCATCAAATGTTTTCTAAATTGATAATTTTGTGTAGAAATAGTGTTTTCTAAAATGACAGAATCTAGATAGCAGGTCTTGCAGCAGCATAACTTCACCTTAAAACTTGAAATTTGAAATAAACATTCCCCAATCACAAGCAGACATGTTAATTCACTACACCAACCTCATTTGAGCGTCTTCTTTGCCGAAAATTTGGCGTTCTTGGCGAATTACAGCTATGATCCGTATGTATATCTCTCATTGTTGAAGTGATTGTTCGAATACTTTCGGAGTGATATACATGCACGGACTGAGACCTCCCCTGAGACATTAGATGAAAAAAATTGTAAAAGCAAATGGAGACATCCCTAATAGGAATTCTTGAGGATTCCTCAGAATTCAGCACTCATATTAATATACATAATCACTTTCATAATTTTCATAGTTCAATCCACGGCAAAGAGATGGCCCAAAAAGTGTAACAGATTCATTGTGATTAATGATTTAAGAAGCAATGAAATTAGTAGACACTAGGGGCAAAATGATCTTGATGTATCGAATTTAACAATGTTAGCTAGTAGAGTGAGCGTTGATTCAAGATGTTTAGGAACAATACAAGCATGTGGGTAACATGTAACTGAAGTTACATAAAAGTAGATCATTGATTGTCACACACAGAAATGTGATAACCACTGGAACGATAAAATAATAGAAATTATACAATGAAAAGGAAAATGGAGGTGAAAATTAAGATTTCATACTTGGATTGAAGAGGTAGAAAATGAGAAAAGGGTGAACACAGAATTGAGAAAAGTTGACGATGAGGATCGGGATGGTGATGTTAGATGTGGCTTTGCTATGTTTCAGGGAAACGAGAATAACAGAAAACATATCAGGACAAGACATAGTAGGAGAGAGAACAAACTACGAGAGTTACGTAATGCTCCACGTTGACCACTAATTAATCCAGGGTCAATTTGTATTAAATATAAAAAACTTTATGATATAAAACTATTATATTTTTTAATCGAAAATTGGAATACATGTTAAAAAAATTATAAAACTCACGTGCCATTTCTTGACATATATTATATATCATTATTTATGATTATTTAGAAGACATGAATTTAATTGATTGGTAAATGAGAAAGCCTTTTTCTTTATACATAGGGATGAGAAAGTCTTTCATTATTGATATCTTTCTTAGTTTAATTTTTTTTTACACATTGCATACTTTGCATTAAATTATTGGGAATTTAGGAAATTATTCTTTCAGATTGTAGGCCTTGAGTGTGATATGCTTTGGACCAACATGGTGAATTTGAAAAAAAAATAGTATTTATATTAGGTTTAAACATGTTTTTAATTCTTTAATATTAGTGAGTATTAATTTTAGTTTTTTAAAAAAGAAAAATATTTTTCATCTATATACAATTTGAAATAAATGTTTGTAGTCCTTATATAAAACATGTTAACTTGATTTTATTCACAATAAAATGTATTTCTTTGATTTTCCCTCTATAATTTCAAATCACTATTTTTAATCTTTAATATTCACTTTAAGCTAAATAAATAAGTTTTATTTCATGAATATATTTTTTTTAATATAACATGTTGACTTTTTATCACAACACTGCTATGTATTAATTAAGATGATTATAACATTCTAATTTTTCATGGTGATTAAGTATCTGAAATTAAATTCTTAAAAATTTATTTATTAGATTGAAACGATTAAAAATGTTAAAATTAAAAAAAAAATTAAAGTTAACTATGATAAATCAATCATTAAAACTATTATGATCTTATTTATTTATTTTATTTATAATAATTTATAATTTAATTAGAGAATATTTATAAATTTTACTAATAAGTCTTATATATATAGAGAGAGACTAAATTTTATATTAATCTGAGAAAAAAATACTTTATTATATACAAAATATAGTAAATAATTAACATAATTGAAATTTAAAATTTCACTTTATAAATTATTATGTTTTTAGTTGGTAGCTATTGCAGATTTCATCGTATATATATTTTCAATTAAAACCCATGCATCCATCATCTCCTTCAAAAACAATGAAATAAAATAAAAGAAAGTAAACTTCCTCTGTGACACACGCATACACTAATTGTAATTTATTACAAAGACATACATAATAATAATATAAGATATTGTCTTCGTTTATATATTTGTTTTGTCTGTTGTTGAGAATAATGGTTGAATTTTTTTACTAGATTAGTTGAACCAAAAAATCTAACTAATATTTTTTATTTTATATTAATTTAATTAAAGTTCGTTTTTTTTAAGTAACAATCCGGAGAGATCCAGTTTTAAGGAAAAGTGATAATTAGAAACGAACATTAATTCCATTCCTTGGAGGTAACAACAATGGCAGAAAGTGGGAAAGTCAAGAATCTGGTCCACGATGGCGATATATTTAATCCTTAAGGAAGTAGGTATAATCTATGATGGCACAAGTGAGAAAGTAGGTATGATACGTTACAAAGATTTGTGCCTACAAAAAACAATCACATGGTATAATTAAACCAGAGTGTATGATATTGGAGCAAGATGGTGATTTTGGTGGATGATTGGGAAATAATGATTGATGATAGAAGGCCAAATTCTGAGGTTGTTGTAGATGCATTATACATATTCCCTGCCTAGGTCACATGTGGGATGGCCCAACCCACATGTGTCTTCCATTGTTGCCTTCTTCAATCTGGACAGGGCGTAACGTGTGCTGCTGCAAAATCTAAATGTGTATTCAGGAACAAGCATCAACTTGTGCTATCTAAAGAATACAAGATAAGTACAAAAAACACACACAAGAGTTGTTAATGGAGGAAGGGAGGACGAAGTAAGTGTGCCATGGTCCCCTCAAGCTTTTAATTCTCTTTCGTATTTCATATACTTCCTTCGTACTTCACCTCCAACCAAAATCCTGTAAAATCTTTTTACCTTTTCTGTCTTTCTCTTTTAACATACATTTATGCATATGTTTTGTATTGTAGTAGTATTGTTAAGATTAAATATAATGAGATATTATTGATTTTAAATTATTAAGATTAATTTTAATGAGATATTATTAATTTTTAAATTTTGTTTTTCATATTTTTATTTTTAATACACATGTCAATGAATTAAAACAGAATAATATATATAACTTATCTTTAATTTTAATTTTTAAAATATGTGAGAATCATAAGTATATATTTTTATATGTAATTTTCCAATTTTAAATTTTGAATTTTAAATACGAAAATATGTGAAGTTAAAAGAATAATATTTCCTTAAAATTTACAACATATTTAACCTAATATTTTTGTTACAGATTTTCAAATTGACGTCACAGTAAACAATTTTGAAAAACTAAAAGAAACATTGTGTATGAGAAAAATCTAGTTAATCATGTAAATTAAGAGTAGTTACTAATTCATAAATATTTAACAAATTCTCAGATCAATATTGAGTTATTAGATCTATATATTTTTTAATTTGATATCATAACCTATTTTAATGATATTAAAATTAGTATAATATTCATTATTTTTAATATGAGTGAAAAATTAAAATTAAAGATAGTTTTTTAATATAAAAAATATATTATAATTTTATATTAATTATATGTGATTAAATTTAGGAATGTTAAACTAAGTTTAGTTTAATGTATTAATAAAAGAAACTCAAGAAATAGAGTAGATTAAACTAAAAAAAGTTTATGATTTAAATTAAATTAACTTATTTTGGTCAAATATTTATATTAGTTTAGCTCAAGTTAATCGTTAATTATTTTATGGAATAATAATTATTTTTTAAATAAAAATACTAATATATAAATAATAAATTAATTTGATAAAAATTCTCTTAATTTTTAGAATAAATATCAAAATAATTTTTTAATAATTATTTATTTGATTAAGATTAATTATTATTTTAAATTAATAAATTATTACAAATAAATAATCATAATAAAAATTAAATTTTTATTTCTTAAGATTACATAGACATATTATTTTATAATTTATATATATTTTTTATTTAAATATTTTTTTAATTGATTAGTTTTATATAAATATGTTAATATTTTTTTAAAAATATAATCATGTTAATTATTAATCCGTTTATGTGAGATTAAATTAAAATTTTTATTTTATTTTAAAATATAAAATTGACAGAACCATCATGAAGGTAGGTTAACCAGCACCCATTTTAACACAGTTTCATGTATTATATAAATATAATACAAACTTTATTTTATAAATAATTACCAAACACATCAATTCGAAGATGATGTCAACATGTGTCCTGAATTAATTCCGCTTCCTAACAATATCCATCCCAACACAAAACTTAAACTTTGTCAAAATTAAAATACTAAATTAAAATCAGGAATAGAAAACTTTATCAAATAAAATCCTTAATCACAGGGGATACCCGTGATACCTTAAAGAGTGATAGAACTTTTGTGTCTTTGTAGTTCATATTTAAGTTCTTAATATAGCTAACGGACTCAATACACAGTTGAAGGTTGAATGATAAAAGAGCAAATAAGTTTTTTTGTTTTCCTATTCTACAAAAATAATGCGATAATGGTTGATGATGTAATGTCTACGTGTGACGTCTCTTACCATAATCACGCATGCTTAGATGAATTATTTCCTGATTTTGTTTTTATTTTTTATATTTAGTTAGTTTGATTTCTTTACGTGATTTTTCAGTAGTTAAGCAGCACATTATTTAAGATTGTTTGAAACCTTAATAGCCGTAGGTGAGTGTTCCAAACCACCAGTGCGGTTGTAAATAGATGTGAAACATTCTAAAATAAAGTCAAAAAGAAAGAAAAGTTCCCCTCCATATCTAACATGGAGAATCTTTAATAGGCTCATAAACTCATAATCAAATAGCTTAATACACCGATTGGTGAATCACTGATTTTTAAACATGGGTAGTGCAGTTTTGTGATGCAATGAGAGAAACATAACATGGAGTTATTCTAATAATGGATGCTTACGTACACGTTTACGATGGAAGAAAAGTGATGATGAAATGAAAATGTTGTGATGTTGAAAAGTTTAATATTATGCAGTAAATGAAGAGAAGAAGCACATGAAGGTGGCTTGTTTATAGTGATGGTGTGATTGCAGATATGGACAGAGACGTGTTGGATTCGTGATGACACCCAAGCTCTGACCGCGACCTTTCCCTTTGCCCATGTCTGGGGTTTTCCTATCCTCTGCTTTTTCCCTATATAT